GGGGGGGGGGGGGGGGGGGCGCGGGGCGCTGTAACCCCCCCTCTCCCTACGGTGGGAAAGGGAGAGCGTCTCTCAAAAAAAAAAAAAAAAAAAAAATGAGCAAGAGATCTGATTAGATATTTCTCCAAGGAAGATACACAAATGGCCAATAAACTCATGAAAAGATGGTTAACATCATTAGTCATCAGGGAAATACAGATCAAAACCAGAATAAGATACCACTTCCTTCCCCCAAAGATGGCTTTTTAATTCTTAAAAAGTCACATAGTAACAAGGGTTGGCAAGTATGTGGAAAAATCAAGTCCTCGAACACTGCTTAGTGGGAATGCAGAGTGGTATAGCCACTTTAGAAACAGTCTGGAATTTTCTCAAAGAATTAAAAATAGAGTTACCATATGATCCAACAGTTCTATTCCTAGGAATATATACTAAAAAGAAATAAAAATACATGTCCACATAAAAACATGAACATGGGAAGAATAAGTTCTGGCGTGCTATTGCATAGCAGGGTAATATGGTTAACAAAACTATTATATATTTCAAAGTAACAAGAAGAAAGGATCTTAAATGTTCTCACACAAAGAAATGATAAATGTTTGAAATGATGGCTATGCTAATTACCCTGAGTCGACCATTATACAGTGTATACATGTTTCAAAACAGCACACAGCACCCTAAAAATATGTACAATTATGTGTCAATTAAAAGTAAACAGAAATCAACTCTGATTTGTACTAATCAGAAATCATTCTCAGTTATGTAAGTTTTTCATGAATAAAATTGAAATTTTTAAAAAACATGTAAATGAATGTTTATAGCAGCAATACCTCTAACAGCCAACAGATAGAAGCAACTAAAATGTCCATCACTGGATAAGAAGCTAAACAAAATGTGATATATCCATACAATGGAATATTGGCCAGCAATGAAGGGAATGAAGTACTAACATATGCTACTACACGGATGAACCCATAAGACATTACACTAAGTGAAAAAAAACCAGACCAGTGACCAAAAGTCACATTTTATATGATTCTATTCATACGAAATGTCCAAAACAGAAAAATCTATAGAGACAGTAAGTAGATTAGTGCCTGTCTAGGCTGGGGTAGAAGGGTATAGGGTTTCTTTTTAAGAGGATAAAAATGCTCTAAAATTAATGATTGTAATGGTTGCAAATTATCTGTGAATATACTAAAAACCACTGATTTATAAACTTTAAATGGGTCAAGTATATCGTATGTAAACTATGTGTTAATAAGGGGGGGCTTTCTTTAAGTACTCAGAGGCCATAGGGAGGACAGAGGAACATGCCTGAAGGGGACATTTAGAGCATCAAGTAGAATAAAGATGGAAATAGATTAAAAATATATTGACTTTTTTTTAATAGTTTTGTAGACCTTTATTTTAGTTTTTACTGTGCCATAGACTAGAAACAGTATATCAAAATAGTCAAGGTTATGGGTCCTGAGGTTCAAAAATCTGTCTCTTTACTGACATGCGCAGGTCACTGAAGTTCCCTGTGCTGGGGTTGGTATAATGAGAAGAGTCATAGTACCCTCCATATCAGATTATTGTGAAAGCAGATGAGTTAAGATGTCCTAAAAATTTTTTTAATTAAAAAAAAAAAAAAAGATATCCATAAAATGCTTGGATCAATGCCTGGCCCATAGCAAGCATTCTGTAAATATTAGCACATACTGCTGTACTTCCTGATAAGCAGAGGCTATATATTATTGTACTGTAATCAGTCCTCTATTAATACATTTTCTGTTGAAGTAAGATCCTTGTACATACATTTAAGAGTATTTATCTGTTCACTTCTTTATACTTTAAGGGCTTAGGCATTAAGGTTTTAGCTCTTAAGAATTCTTTATATTGATGAATTTTGAGCCAGGTAGTGAGTATAGGGAGAGCTTCTTGGAAATGTTGTCCTATACTCCTATAAACTGGGCTCTCCAGGTCCTGCCCCCATCTTAGTTTCTGCTGCTATAACAAAATACCTTGGACTGAGGAATTTATAAATAGTAGGCATTAATTCATGGTTCTAGGACCAGAAAGCCTAAGACCCTATTGCCAGCAGGTCTGGTGAAGGTCTGTTCCATAGATGGCATTTTTTACAGCATTCTCTCATTACAGAGAAAAGCAAAGAGATGAATGCTATGTCCTCACATGGCAAAAGAAATAGAAGGTCCAGACAGCTATCTGGAGCCTCTTTTTTCTTTCTTTCTTTTTTTTTTTTTTTAATTTATTGTTGGGGATTCATTGAGGCTGGATTCAAGAAACCAGGTTTCACTGATTGCATTTGTTAGGTAAAGTCCCTCTTACAATTGTGCCTTGCCCTCAAAAGGTGTGACACACACCAAGTCCCCACTCCCTCCCTCCTTCTGAAAATCTAGTCTACAGTGCTATATGAAGCAGGGATAGTAAAAAGAAAGGGAGGGAGGAAGAGAAATTAATTCTTTATAAGAGCATGCCAACCACTAAAGTGTAGAAGAATGGCAGATGTCAAAAATCACCATTTGCTACCCCCAGTGTAATAAATGGGTTTGGTTCAGTACCATTAATGGAACCACTGAGCTAACATAATCTCAACATGTTATCACCTAATTATTTATTAACTACAAAGGGAAAATACATTTTTATAACAATGAGACCTAGTAATCATCACCTTAACCAGCAGTGAAACAACCTGACATTATGTTGGCTTTGATGAACTAAGAAGTAAACGTCAACTACTGTAGTATTCTTGCCAAAAAGTTTAAAAAGTTTAATCTGAATCTAAGCAAGACAAATCCATAATATGACACACTTTACAATAAAACTGGCCTGGTCTCTTTAAAAAAAAGTATCCCAAAAACAAAAAATAAGGCTCGG